ATCCAACCCTTCTCTACGAGTTCCTTGAGTTGTCGGCGAAGCTCATCGAGCTCGCCTGGAGACATCCGATAGATCCTACCCTTCGGGATGCTAGACCCAGGGATAATCTCTATCGCGTGGACGACCTCCCTCTCTACAACCCCTGTCGGCTCTTCAAATAGATCAGGGTACTTGGCAACTACTCCCTCTATCTCCGGCGGCATTTTCATCGGGTCGCCTGCAACAGAGACATAAACTAGATACATACCCTCCTCCTGATTTGCTTATAATAGTTGTAGAACGCGGCCGCACACATGCACCTGTGGGACTCAATCAGACTACTAGCTTTGAACTTACGCAATCTGGCGGTCCCTCCACCCGGCAAAGTGTGTTTGACCACTTTTCGGGCCCAGTCAAACTGGGGCTGTGCCACAGAGAGGTAGTACATACCTAACAACATGTCCATGGGGAGTTCGCCACTCACTAGGAATGAGACGCGATGTCTCAATTCCCCTTCCGCGTACGGGAAACAACACTCCACATCTTGGAGGTAGTCATTGACTACCATGCGCTGTTTGTTGGCACAGGCCGACTCCACAGGTCGACTCAGGCGCTGCACTCGCCCCTGTAAGCGCAACCTCTCAACGCACGCGCGACTAATGAAGTTCCTAGTCGAGCAAGTGTCATAATAGGCCCCGGCCTTGCGGCCGCCAATGACAACCTCGCTGACGAACATCTCTCCCTTCGGGGCTTTGACTAGGGCCGTCCAAGAAGCTAGCGGATCTGATCTAGACCACTCCTCCTCTAGCTCCTCTAAGGACTCAAACACATTCATCGAACAGAGGCTCGATGGGTCTGAATGTGTTTGTGGGACGACGCTGGAATCAGTAGTTTGGGCCATCTCTCGAGATGGTGAGGGTGTCTCCACCACCTCGACCCTAGTAGGAACAACTACTATCCCAACTGGCCTGACGTATTTCCCGGAGCAGTGTCTGAAGTGCTGGCAACATTGCTACCAACGGGATGGGAGGATCCTAACGCCTGCCCCATCGTAGGCGGGATCTTCTCGGTCACCTTCTTATTCCGGCACTTGAATTGGTTATGGCCATATTGGCCACAACGAATACAAGCTTGCCGGGTGTACCGGTCTCTCCACACGTCCTCAGTGAGACCCGCTTTCTCCCATGGAGGAGCGTTGGGGTCAACTTGACTCCTTGACCGGGAGACTCCGCGGCGTCTACTGGTCACCTTACCTTTTTGAGCTACGACAGCGACAACTCCACCCCCTGAAGCTTCAACGCTGCCCGCCTCTGCACCTACTCCCTCTTGGAAGTTGTCGTCTAATTCGATGGTTGAACCATCATTATCGACAAACATAATGCGTCCCTTCGCCTTCTAGTTGGGAGGCAGTGTTTTCTTCCTACCATCCGTAGTGGGTGCGTGTCCATGCCCTCGCCTTAAGGTCTAGGGCCTTCTTGCTAAACGAAGGAAAGTTGTGCATATTGATGTTGGCCTCACCTGCTAACTGGTTCCTGAGAGGCAAGGAAAAGCATCTCAGGTAGGAGGTGAGTAGTACCTGGGGGTCACAGCGCACCCCTGGGACACAGATCAGACGCTCAACAGCGTCGGTGGCTTCCCTTACTGACTTGAACTGCCGTGTGTGCAGTGTCCGGATCGCGTCAGTGGCCCTTTGGGCCTCCTGAGGATCATGCCACCTTTCTTCCACCAGCTTAAGGAAGTCATCCAATTTCTGGGTGACCGCCCAAGCGCGGAAGTCATGACCATACCCTTGGAGCTGCACTAAACCACTCAACCATCCTTTTGCACTACCCTCTAGGTAGGAGGCAGCCACAAGCACTTCTTCGTGCGACAAGGTACAAGTAAGTCGTTAACAGGGACCCCCACTTTTATGGTTTTCTTATAAATTGAGGTGAAAAATGGGGGGTCGGTTAACCTTTTCTCACATAGACTGGCACGCCCTTGTGAAGGGTTTCGGAGTGGCGATGGCCGTCTTTGGCACCCACTGTGTTTGTCTCGGTCCCTGCATCACTCCGGGTTGTGGACCCTGTGACACAGGTTGCTGTGCTAGCTGCTGGGGCTGTGTGCCTTGCGACTGTACAGACTGCGAGACCGCAGGCTGCGTGGTAACCGCAACATGCAACGGAGATTGGGTAAACATTGTCTGTATAGGAACCTGCAAACTAGATCCTGCTGTGATCCCCCCTAAAGCGGCATGCCCAGGGAAACGATCGCAACCGATGATGGGACTACATATGGGGATACCCTAGTCACTGCTGGGACAAAAGGAGGAGGTTGTACAATGGGCCAGGCACCAGGCCCGGACATTTGCGACGTAGCCTGCACTTGCCCAACCAACAGGGCCAGACTTTGCAGGATGTCCTTAAGGATGGTTGTCTGATGGTCCTGCATCTCAACTACATTCAGCAGGACGGACCGTACGATCCTCACCTCATCAGTCACAAGCGTCAAGTCCATCTCCTCTAACTCACTAACGTCCGCTTGTCTCCGTTGCATCCTGGCTCTTCTTCTAATCATTCTTTCTTTCTCCGCTTTTATATCTCCTATCGCCTTCAGTAGTTGTGCCTCCTGCAATGCTGCTTGTTGTATGGCAATCTCGTCGGAGGTCAACACTATAGGTTGGCTTGCCATTACGCCAGTGGACTGACTCTGGGTCTGCGCGACCGTTGACCCGACAGATCCTGAACTACTGGCCTGAGTAGTCTGCTGCGCAGAAGTAGCCATAGCTTCTGAAGCTGCGGCTTCACTCACAAGTGCCCGGCTAGCCTCTGCTGCTCTAGCCCTCCTCTGCTCCTGCAACCTCTCTCTACGCCGACGGAACAAATATCTGCCACCCTTTGGACCTAATGCCAAATGGGCTATTGGGCGCCTTGTCGATTGCAAGATCCGGTCGTCCTCTCTAGTGTCCTCCTCGTCGCTCATAAGCTACAGCCCTGTACACAATCTGCACTAGTGCACTCTAAATGCCTACCACAGCATAGTGCACAGACCAATCAACCGGTGGCTATTTCGGAGACTTTACATTCGGGCCCAACAGGTAAGTCAGATTCCTACAAATAAAACTATTTTTAGTTTGACTAGTCCGCAAACAGAAGCACCATGAACAAGAAACAGTTCTAACTAATGTTATCTGTCAAATGTCAATGGCTGTACACCTAACCAATCAAAACATAAAAATAGAATCATTTGTGTGGATAGAACAACATGGAATTTTCTCGAACTTTTTCACCTGAAATCTACCCCTCCCTTAGTCCCCCTGAGTATCACTTGACGTCAGCGTCCCTGAGCAATCTGGAGGCGTTGCGTGTCTAAAAGGTGTGTGTTTGGCCCACCCCTGTGCCCCGAGTATCTGCTGAGCTGGCCAGCCCTGCACTGGATTATCCTCGCGTGCAACGAGCCTTACAACCATTGGCTGATCCAGAGGCAATTTAACGTCCACCCCAAAGTGACTCCAGGAATTCTTTTACGTCGCAACCGGACAACGATCACAGCCAATGGTTCCCCTCCTGGTGCTTATTTAAAGACGCCCGGTCTCGTCTCCCTCTTAGGGCTGGCCTGCCCTTCAGTACCCATCTAACAGTGCAGCAAGCCAAACAAAGGACAAGCAGCAAAGCATGCACGCTCTACTCCCGGTGGGTTGGCATGGTGACCGTGACCCAGTGCTTCGTCCAGGGCCCTTCAGAAAGCTCCGCCCATCTTCTCCCAGATGCTCCACGTGAACATTGCCGACTCTCAAGGTTGAGCGCACTCGACACCTCACAATGAGAGGAATCTCAAGAAGGAACACACAACCTCACGGTAAGAAGTGTCGAAGAGGGTAGATAAGGTTAAGAGCAACGTACCTCAAATAGCTGCCCCCAACCACAGAGATAATCTCACCAGATGACCCAATGGCAATTGCGATGAGCAGTCACTGCATCGGCACAACCAGCATTATCTCGTCATTCCACCTCAGCATCAATCGCACATTAGATAGTTCTCATCACACTGTCCAGACCACATTACCCCCACGTAGCCTTCCTGGCGATCCCCTCACCTCCTGGGTCGCCTATCACTCGTCTCCGCCCTCCTCACTACACACCACTTACGGCCAAACTCGCCAAGCAGACCGCATGTATGTACCACATAAGGCAGAAGACAAGCGCCAGATGAGCGCAATCGTACCACGACTCTGATACCAAATTGCAAGGAAGATGAGCAATAGTGAACTTCAACAATCAAACAACGTCATACATATGAGTCCAGATAGTCGTGACCTCGAACCAACAACAAAATTGCACCACGAGTTTCACCAAATAAGAACACACCAAGAGTTCATAATTGACAATACTGAAATAGTCCCATCATCATCATCAACGAAGAACCAGAGTTGATATCCTATCTGGCGCTCTGCGCCCAGACTACATGTGGCAGATCCTATCTAGCCTATACTACAATGCCAAAGTTGACGACAACAACTCTCCCGAAGTACGAGCATACAGCGACCAATGTCGCACGCTTCCAGCACCAGGTATGTCTCTCGCATTACTCACAACCTCGTTCCCCAACACACAAATGCCACTTGCACCCAAGGACCACCCTGCGCCACACCCAGCTTACAGCAACGCAGCTCGGCTATGGCTGCCTGCTCCTTCCCTGCTCGCCCGTGAGCGTATAGGCACCAGCCAACAAATAACGCAGCAGCGCTTGCGCAACATGCAGCCAGCACCCGAATGCTGAATGAGGAGGGAGGCCCTTTGCTATATCGAAGTGGCCTGCCTGCGTCCAGTCCCAAGAAGCTTCCAGTAGGCCCCGGTAGCCTGAGGCCCAGCACGATCGAGAACAGGTCTGGGGCCTGATGTGGTTGCATGCGCCCAACTGCCTTTGGCACGTGTTTGGCCCAGTACCTGTATCCAGCCCAGGGCCTGCTTTCCATTCATTCACACAGGCGGCCCGGGGCCTGGGTTCTCTCAACCAACTGGCGCTGTGCAACTGCCTGAATTTCCTTAGTTGCGCAGAGGCCGAAATTAGTTGCGCAGAGGCCGAAATAAGGCCCTGAGGGGCCTCATCGAGCCTGCCTTCACTTAGGGCGGCCGACAGGCTCCCAAAAAGGGGCCGAATGGGCTCATAGAGGCAGTGCCCTCGCAACTAGTGCTAATTTAGTACAGCGATTCTGGTGGCCTAACATGCTAGACGATGTAAAGAAGTACGTACAGACCTGTCACGTCTCTTAGTTGGACAAGCCGCGGACTCGAGCGCCGCTTGGGTTACTCAAGCCTCTACCCATTCCTGCTGGCCCAGGGCAGAGTATCTCCATGGACTTCGTGGATACTCTCGTGACCAGCAAGAATGGCAAGAGGCATATCTTCGTCATAGTTGATAGGTTCACTAAGTATGCTAGACTAATTGCCATGTCGGAGACTGCCAGGACTGAGCATGTCATCAAGTTATTCATGGATAACTGGGTGCGTGATTTTGGACTGCCAAAGACAGTCATTAGTGATAGAGATGTGCGATTCACAAGCGAGATGTGGAAGAAGGCCGCTGAACAGATGGGCAGCCAGCTACAGATGACTTCTGGGAATCATCCCGAAGCAAATGGGCAGGCTCAACAGATGAACCGAGTGGTGCAACATTTGCTGAGGCATTACATTAAGCCCAGCCAGAACGACTGGGACGAGAAATTACCTCTCATCGCCAGTCTGTACAACAATGCTGTACACAACACCACCAGCGTCAGTCCTAATCAACTGCATCTCGGATGGAAGCCTAGATCTGCTCTAGACTTCCTCCTGCCTGAAAACCGAACTGCTGCAACTCCTGGAACCATTGAATTTGGTGTCCAGTATGAGAAACTGTTGCAGCAGACTGTCGAACACATCAAGAAACCTCAGGAAGCCATGATTGCTTCTAAGAACAAGCGTCGCCGACAGTCCACATTTCAGGTAGGGGAACGTGTCTGGGTCAAGGCTAGTGAGTTGGGACAGGAGTTTGGCATCTCTAGCAAACTAATGCCTCAGTATTTCGGTCCCTGGGAAGTCTTAGACATTGTGGGGAATGATTTGGATGGTCCCTCGTACGTCATTCGTATCCCTGGTCACTTACGCACTTACCCTGTTTTTCACGCCTCCAAGCTTGTACCTTTCGCTGAGACAGCACAGTTCCCATCACGGAGATCTATGCTGCCCCCAACCATGGATGGCCACGTCGTGGTCGACGACATCCTGGATCACAGAGACACGCCTGTTCCCAAGCCAGCTGGCAGGGGAAGACCTCCCAAACCTGCGAGGGAGTATAGAGTACATTTCAGGCATCATACTGATCCGAAGGAAGATCGATTGATTTCAAGGGAGGAACTTGTCAAAACAGCTCCTCTGGTCGTGGCAGATTATGAGAAGAAACTGAAGGGGAAGGCACCAGCATGAAGCATCTCAGCGGACTTTCGAAGCCAAGCCCTCAAGGGGCCCTATCAGACATCACATTGTTATGGGCTGAGGCCCCCAGCAAGCCAAGTGCCCGCCCTAAGTGAAGGCGGGCCTGAATATTCGTCACAGGCAAAATTCGACATTACCATATGTGGGTATTCAGGCTCTCGCAGCACGCCAGTTGGTTGGACAGACGCGTGAGCCTCACAATGCTGCGTCATACAGTTGGCCCAGGCCTTGACAGTTGCGCCTGGGCACACATACACAAAGCAGGGCTGATACATTGGGGAGCAGGCCTTCGGCCTTGGCAAAAGTAGTAGTGTCGATGCACCTGCCGGGGAGCCCTGCACAAATGCAGCAAACAGTCCAAGTCCGGAGACTCAGGCCGTGCCTAACTGCAAAGGGCCCAGACCCTCAACTGTAGTCTCGGGCCTGGGCGCAGGGTTTGGGACCCAACCGGAAGCTACTGGAAACTTCCAGCCAGGCCACACGCAACATCGAGGAGGCTGCCACTTCCACAAAAGGAGTGAGGCAGCCCAGGCCAGGCATTCTGGCCAGTGCTGGCAATGCGAAAGTGCTGCTGCGCTCTCGCTTGATGCTGCGCTGCTGTCAAGGGCGCTGACAGGGCCCGTAGAGGTGAAGTGGGGCACTGCAGGGCAGCGGGGCGCAAGCGGCTATATTTGGGCTGCTGGGCGCCAGGGGGTAATGTGGGCGATTGAGTGGTCTTCAGGGAAAGAGGCGAGTGTGGGGTAATCAAGGTCTGATTGAGGGTGACGAGATACGTACCTGGTACATGAAGAGAGGTCGGCGATGGTGTTGGCAGTCATCCTCCATCAACATGCCTGACATCCGCACCGACTCRGTCGATAGCATCGCCCGCAACCTCGCAGGCGAACAACCACCAGCAAACACCGCCACCCCCGACCTCTCCGCCATCCTCCACACACTCAACACCCTCCAAACCTCCGTCACTGCCTCTCTCAATGACATAAAGGCCACCATATTGTCCATATCCGACCGCGTCACCACGCTCGAAGAGAACAACCCCTCCATCACGGTCGTCACCACTGCCGCACCTCCCTCCTCCACAGCGCAGACCACTCCCTCCTCCACAGCTGCCTCCAGCAACCCCCCCCCGTCGACCTCCTCCACTCCTACCACCTCTACCACCACACCCACCAACCCTTCCTCCTCAACCCTTCCCCCCCCTTCATCATCCACCACCGTTTCGCTCCCCCCACCTCCTCCCTCATCCGGCGCATCCAACACACCGCCTCATTCCTCGCCTATC